TCCTCACCCGTTGCGAAGTTATGAACCCACTGGTAATCGAAAATTTTGAAAAGCTTCTTGAGCTGAACCCTCAAACTCGTTTTATGTCATTGTACTACGTGTACATAACACTGGATGTCAGCCCTTCACAGCATAATCCTCATCGTCTATGCTTCTCCGACTTCGGCAATTCAGTTAGTTTTGATTTATCTATGACGCGGGAGATTAGTGGGATCCCAGAACATCATCTTTCCATGATTGTTCCGTCAATTTATGCTGCAAAGTTTGGCCAAGTTGATTCCGCAAGATCGTTCTTCACAGATGGATCATTAATAGAGGCGTCCGCTGGTTTTGGTATTTATAACGAATTTCATAGCGCCTCTCGAATGCTTCAAGCTCCCTGTTCCGTATATGTTGCTGAACTGGCGGCAATACATTATACGCTAGAAACGATCGCCTCACTTCCACCAAATCACTATTTTATTTTTACGGATAGTCTCAGTTCTGTCGAGGCTATTCGCTCTATGAGGCCGGTAAAGCACTCCTCGTATTTTCTCATGAAAATACGAGAGTTTCTAAATGCTTTATCTTTAAGATCTTTTGTCATCACCTTTGCATGGTTCCCATCTCATTGCTCGATTCCGGGCAATGAGATGGAGGACTCACTTGCTAAGGTGGGCGCTATGGAAGGCGATATTTACGATCGACAAATCGCCTACGATGAATTTTTCTTCATTTATCATCAACAGTCACTCGTCAGCTGGCAGAATAAGTGGAGTGAAGGGAGTTTGGGACGATGGCTATATTTGATCATCCCTAAGGTGTCGAAGAGTTCTTGGTTCAAGGGGTTGGATGTGGGTCGAGACTTCATTCGTATGATGTCTCGCCTCATGTCCAATCACTATTCGTTAAACGCTCACTTGTTCCGTGTTGGGCTGAAGGACAGCAATCTCTGTGAATGTGGACAAGGTTACCAGGACGCAGATCACATTATTTGGTCTTGTGCTGAGCATCGCGGAGTCAGATCTGAACTGTACGATTCCCTTCGGGCTCGAGGTAGACAACCTAATGTTCCAGTTCGAGATATTTTGAGTAGACGCGATCTGGAGTTTATGAAACTTATATATGTTTTCTTTAAGAATATTAACCTTAGATTGTAAGTTTGACTAACCTTGTGTTTAGTTTTTGTTTTGTTCGTGTGGGTATTTTTTTATGTTTGTTCTGTAATAATTGTATAATTACACTGTGGATACCAAATTGAATAGGAATAAGTTCATGTTTTAGGAATAATGAAATATTTGTATCGTAAATCATAACTCAAACCTCCTCCTCCCTCTCCCCATCCATAAAACTGTAAATCTCTACTAACCTCGAGATGACCGCGAGTAATCGGTTCAGTTCCTTTAAATCTAGATTTAAGACACCAATTATGTATAACGCAAATGATAACTTGGCTCTGTAAAGTTTATTCGATTGAGCCTGTACAAATCAATTAATTAATAAAAAAAAAAAATCATCATCATCATCATCATCATCATCATCATCATCATCATCATCATTATCATCATGAGTGTGCAAAATTTTACGCAATTGCATCCTCCCTATTCGCATACGCCTGAAAATCGGAGGCGAATGCCACTTCGACTTGTTTTGTCTACTAACGACTCTCTGATGACAGTGTTGGGGAAGCAGCAAAGCTACATCGACATGTTTCGTCAAGAAACGCATCTCTGATGACTGTGTTGGGGAAGCAGCATATGCATAGTTATTTCGACGCTTTTGGACAATGCTTGACCTTTACCACTTTTTAAATAGTTTCTTGTTGAAAATCAACAGTGCTATCAATGTGTAGAAATATTTCTAATTGATTGGTAATAAAATTATTGAAATTGGTCCAGGGGCAGCTGAGTTATTAAAGTTCAAAATCTTTCATAATTTCGTTACATGTTCCATTTTCGGTTTTCACAAAGTGTAGCCCCATATAGAAATCACAGACGTAGTACTACGTCAAAAATTCTTGAACTAAGCCTCCAAAAATTTGAACTAATTTAGTATGAAACTGACTTGGCACAAACCATTTGAAGTTTATATGGAAATTACCATGGGAATACCAAATTAGTTGGTTATATCTATCTAAAACTGCACTTTGCTTTAAAAAAAGATAGCTGTGTAAATTTTGAATTTTCTCAGCTACAACTTTGATAAAGACCACTTTTCGATCACATGTAAGGAACAAAAGTTATTAATGATTCAAACCACATATGTCTTATGATCATGCGCAATCAACTGATCAGCAGGCAACATTGGAGTTTCTGGAGCGAAGAATAGATCACAAAAATCATGGCTACTTTGTCATAATGCAGAATAGAGTGTTGCCCACAAAACAGCTGCTTGATCAGGCCATAAGATTATCAATCTCTTAAACAATTAATAACTATTTATTTTGACGTTTGACTGAACATCGATTTACCATAAGAAAAGCTATAGAATCTTTTAACAGTACAATATGGGAAAAGTCTAGAAGTCAATGAACAACAAGTTTGGATTTCCCATAGCAAATTCCATATAAACTTAAAATGTTTTGTGCCAAGTCAGTTTCTTACCAAATGAGTTCCGATTTTGGGAAGCTAATCAGGACCCGATTTGGAACCGGTTGAGCACTGTGGAGTGAAAATTTCAAATTTTGCATCAGTCTAATGGTGCATGCTCATGCAAACATTAAAAGAGCGTCACGAATTTGCAATGGTATCTTTCGCAAATGAAATCGTTTCGCATCGTATTGATTCAGTAGAACTCTTATCAAATCTGAATTTTGATGTACCTTATGCGCAATCGGAATACTTTTTTTCAACCCACCATCGTACAAATTATGCTAAATTTAAACTCTTAACACAAATGAAGGCTATTTACAACAAGCCTTGCGTAACTATAGACTTTACAATGACAAAAAGCAAATTGAAACAATTGAAGTGTTGTAATTCGTAATTTTAACACGTAAAAACAAAATATTATCAAGACAAACACTGATTAGTCTATGCTTTGTTTATAAAGATTTTAAATTCATTTAAAAACATATAAATTTTAAATGAATTTAAAATCTTTAAAAACAAAGCATGTAATTATTAATATATAATTAATTATATATGCCCCGTACCGTGGGTAGATTCTTCGTCCTGACTACTTCAAACTAGGGGAACAGGATTTTTCAGTAATCCAAGGAACACATCTTAGTCCTTGTTACTTTTTATGCCTTGTTGATAGTGACAAGACTCGGCTTTGTCTACCGAGGATGATCTTGAAACAAGGAAAAAAATGAGTTAGTTGTCTTCATCTATGTGATTCCCAATCTTCTATTCGTTGTTCCCTAGTTTGAAGTGGTTAAGACTAGGGTTCTGATGCATGGTCATTATCGGTGTCAGACCTTAATTTTGTTGCTAATGAATCCAATTTTGACTGACAAAGGGGCGCAGCTTTGGAGGGTGTTTCAACACTCCGACGGGTATAAATAGCGGGACCTTTCAATTAGAGTCGGATCCTTGCGACAAATGTAAGAGTGGCAACTGTAAAAAAATCGAATAATACTTCATCATTTCTCAATAGTGATGGAGTAATACAACATGCACTAAACTAAGGACACGGGATATACTACAATAGATCAATTTACTGGTCGCAGTAGTGTTTGGTCCCGAACAGAGGAAAAAAAATGTTATTATTATTGTAACAAAGCGGTGTACATCTAATTGACGACAATAAATAAATATAAACTTAACCTATTATGGTTTTCATGTTTTTCTCTGCAATTTTCCTCAACAGTGAAACATCTCGATGAAAACTTTTATCAGATTAATTTTTTTAGGATTGTTGAGATAATTTACTCACAAATAAAAAGTGTTTCTACGATACTTGGTTCAAAAGTTATGAATTTTCGAAGTACCCAGTTCAAAGAAAATTGTAAAACTTCACCTGCCAAATTTTGACAATCCCAATTTTATAAATTTTATTGATTCTACCTATTAGCAAAGTTTCCTAAAATTCAGAGACTCTTCGTCCCAATCTGGTAGGATTAAAAAAATCGATATCGAATTTCTTTCAGTTCGAATTTCGGTTCAGTTCATTTCTTCAATAGTCACTCTTGGGTCATTCGTGACTTGTCCGGGGGTGAGATTTGAACTCGTGACTTTGGCGTGAGAGGTATGGATGTTAACCACTACGCCAGGGTCGCCCCCAATCCTTAAATAATTTTCAACGTCAAAAATTGTCAACTTTATCAAACTGCTAGAATCTTTAAAAGTTTTCATTGTCGGTGATCTTAAAACTAGGACCCAAAGTTGGGAATTATATCTAGATTTTATTCTACCCAAAATTTGCCAATAATTTCTAGCTCCATTAAAAAATTTTATAATTTATAAAACTAGTCTCAATGTCTTGAAACAAAATTCATAGTCCCAGTGCCGTTCCTAAGAAATTATTAGGACAATACTGGTAATATGAATTTGTTTTAAGTAAGGATACCCTAAGTTGAATATTAAATTTTCAAAATTCATTGTATTCCGACCCATTCTTCCTAAAGGGCAATTGTTGAGAAATTTTTAACCCCTCCCTTCCCACGTACACACTAATCCAGCTAGTAAAGATTTGCGGAATTGTTCGGTAAAAGTTTAAAAATCTGTGGAAACTTAAAAAGGAGAAAATTTATCCCGATCTTGTACAGTCTTAGTTCCGTTAACCCCATTTATTGATAGAAAATAAAATTTATCAATGTCATTGATTTCTTACGGATAGCGGTCATTTGAAATTTTACCGACTTCAAAAACCCAGTTCAAAAATACTGACTCCTGTAAAATATTCTTAGTGTGTACACAGAAGTTAATTAAAAAAATATTAATAAGAACCAAAGGCACTTGCCAATGAACTCACTAGATAGTATACGATAGCTATTCGCCCTGCCCCATATCCCAATTTGCAACAACACCAAAGCTAAACGTAAAAACAGTCACGCTTCTCTGTCAACTGATACTTACATAATTCCCATTAGGCCATTTGGATGAATTGAAACTGGAATCCTCTCCGTCATTCGATACTGCAGAAAAGATACCAGAAAGGAAAATAGGCGTTGAGTGAAATTAGAATTCCGGAAAAACCAGACATCGCACGAAAATGTTTGACTGCCAAGTAAAATTGTCCATCATTTAGTCCTCTGCTGACACGAAAATGAAAAAAAAAAGCAAATCATCATTCTCACCGTACTGCGCGGGAATCACGTCCGGATCGCCTCTGTCATCTTCTGTCGGGTCGGGCTTTCCATCTCTGCCCTTGCCATCGACGCCTAGCCCATGGTGGCCACCGGCAATTCCTGGTCCTCCCGTGCCACTGCCACCGTTGCTGCCACCTCCTCCGCCACCGCCATGCTGCCATCGTGGACTTTGCTTGGAGTTTTTCTACGTTCGTTGCGTGATTGGGTACAGAAGGAAATAGACAAGAATGAATTTCGCGATTAATGAATCGGAAAATTTCGTTCAATAAATTCCGTTTTTATTGTGAGTAAGTTAATTAAAACAATTGATTGTTCTGCGGTTGTGTTTGCTCAGGATCATACAAGCATGACCGGCGCGTGTTGGGCATGTATTGAGAGAATTCCCATTCGAAGGACAAACAATCGAAACTCACTCACAGTGACTGGATATTTGGATAATAATTTTTTGACTATTTTCGGTTGCATGACGTTTGTTTAATTTTAATATGCAAATCATGGATCTGCAATCAAATAGCGCTAGTGAAAAATGGTACGAAGTGGCAGTTATTATAACTTTAATAAGTGCTCTTGGCAGATAGTCTATAATAGCATATTATTCATAACAATGGACGAGGTTAATAATTATGTCTATATAAAGCAATTGACCTATAGGAGCTAAAAAACGATTCTTATCCATTTATTTCCACTTGATTGAATTTGTATCCATATAGATACGCATATTTTGTCTACAATGAGCATATCGATAGAGATGCCAATTTAATTAAGTGAAATTATTTATTAAATACTCGCTCTTCTGTAGTTATTATGAGGCACTAAAACACCAGACTTTTATCTTTGAATAATTTAACATAACCGTAATCCAAAATCTTTCTCCTTCGTCTTCAAGATGAAAGTTTAAGGTACACTTTGGTGCAACAAGACCCCTGAAAAAGCGCTTGGGTTTCGTAGAACATTAGAAAAGATTGTTGAAAATGGGGACTGACAAAATCTGATCATTGCTGTATTACATTCGAAACTGCCTTACAAGTGCAATTGAGACGACTTCTGTGTACAGCAATGGACACCCAGACTTTCTTAGTCTGACTGGATAGCAAGAAGACTACCTTACAGTTTCCCAAACATGCTGACATCTCCACTTTTCTAATGAAAGTCTGCGTTTGACACGGGTCAAATCGGTTTCGTTGTAGGTATTAACGAGAAACGCTCGATGTAAGATTTTAATTCAATTTGGATGTCACCGTTGTCGCCGTCGCAGCCGACGCCAGCGTCACGACACCCTGCATCTAATATAATTTCGACACTCTCAGCTAAACGTGCCACCGGGATTGTACGTCCTCAACTTCCCTCAACCTCCTTCTCAGTCGTATACCTTGCCAGGAGCTAGGAAGTATCGCTTTCTTTTTTTTTGTAGATATATAAAACAACTCCCATCCTTCCGTAGATTCGCATGCTTCATTACTTCAGTGTTTTCGAGGTACAACTGGCAAAAGTTGAATCATTCGGAATAAAGTAAACGAAAAAGTGGCATTTCTTAATGAAGGAAACATAATTCAGTTATAATGGCCGTGGAAGAAAACGAATGAAATAAACGATAAATAAGCAACAGCAAAAAAAAAAAAAAACAAAGATTTAATTACACCATACTTGAACAATGTTCTGGGAAGTAGAGAGAAATGGCACAGGGGGCAATTGTAGACATGGTAGAAGGAGATTTTTTCTCTGTTGTTGAATGTTAACAATTGTAGTGATTCCACCATGTCTGTTTGTAATGCGAAATAAATGTTTGTTGCTACATTCTTGCAGCAGTATAAGATCGGTAAAAATAGTGTAAATTCTTTAAATCATATCGCAATCTTTTATAAATAGCTATAGGACTAGATCTGCGCGTTTGGGAACTGGACACTGTGGATGTCAACCAGGCTTGCTTCCACTCACTTGCTATTAAATCATGATTTTCTGAATTTTGAAATCATAGATGTTATAATTATATTTTGTACTTGTTAGATACAAGAAAAGGTTGAAAGGCAAGTGTTTGACACATGAAACCTGTCAAATTTGCTTTCAGATAGTCACAATCAACGATTTTACGACTCGCGAGCGCCCACTTTGAGTGAACGCTCATGAATTATAAGATCGCTGATTGTAACACTCTGGTAGTGAAATTGACAGTTTTTATGAGTCAAACACTTGCCTTTCAACCTCTTCTTGTATCTAACAAGTACAAAATATCATTATTACATCTAATGATTTCAAAATTCAGGAAATCATTTTTTATAGCAAGTGAGTGGAAGCAACCCTGATGTCAACTAGAACAAATAGGCGTAACTGTTAAATGATAGGCATTCTTTTAATAGAAAATCACTCAACCCACTCCAAAAGCTGACGCGTACAAATAGAGTATTTAGTGAAATATCGCAGATGTGCTATCAGTGGCATTCCATAAACTAAGTAGATCGTTGAAGGGGTCAACAAATGTTAAATATTTATCCAATCAATTTTCATGGCAATGGAAATTTTAATTGAATGAATGCCATTAGACCGAATGCGATTAAGCCGGAAGGGTAATTAGGTTAATATTTGCATAACCACTTCTTCATGCGGCATCCTGATCATCAGAGTTGGATTCTAATAATATTGGATAAGTCTTTAGTGAGAATGACACTGATGAAGGCTGCATTATTAATTTTATGTGTTTTGATGTGTCACATGACCATTTTTAAGAGAAAGTCGATTGAGTTGTCCGGAACGGGTATCCGGAACATCTGAGTTAGGTAACTGGTCACATAACCAGTTATATATTGGCAAAGTAATCGAAGAATCATTGCATGCACATCAATTTGATGTGTTTTGATGTATCACATGACCATTTTAATTAAAGTTGATTGTGGCCACCGGGACCGATATTTGGAACACCTGTCCCAAGTAATACGAATAATGCCAAGGTATTCACTTCGTTCGAATCAATTTGATGTATCGCATTATATGTTTTCATAAGACAGTTAATTGTGACTACCGGTGCAGGTATCTGGAACACCCGGAGATCACTACCAAAGCATCACACAGGTTCTATAACAGTTTATATAACCTTTGTATGACTGGTTTAGGTTGTACAGCAGTTTACTTAACATAATTATATGAATTCGTGTTACTTGAGTAGTCGCTAGTAACCAGAATATTGGTATGATATTTGGAAAATCGATTGATACGCATCAACTTTATGTGTTTTGATAAGCCACGTGACCATTTATATGAGAAAGGTTTTTTTTCTTTTTTTTTAATTGTAGTCATTTTAACGCTTTTGGGTAGTTCGTGATTTGTCTGGGAGTGAGATTTGAACTCATGACTTTAGCGTGAGAGGAATGGATTCTAACCACTACGCCGGGGTCGCCCCCTATATGAGAAAGTTGATTTTGGCCAGCGGAAGCAGTATCCGAAACATCCGGGAAAGGTTACTGGCCATGAGTAACAAGAATAATGTCAAAACATTCAAATAATAGCTTCATACGCATCAATTTGATATGTTTTGATGTGTGGCATGACTATTCTTATGTGAAAGTCGATTGTGATCTGCGGAGACGGCAATCCTTTTTTTTAACTAGTTCGTTTATTTACTAGGCTCAGTCGTGTGTGACACTTTGCGGAGCCGAAACCAGTAATGTTTGAATTTACATTTTAAATAGCAGTAGTTCTTGGTTAGTATTGGGTACCAATTACTCGTGGCGGGCTAAAGGTTAATGGGTAACAATTTCGATTGGAAAGAGCTAGGTAGGAAACTGGTTTCTGAAGCCTCCTTCAGATACTACTCTCGGACGGTTGACCAAATCCTGGCTGGGCAGGGGCAAGTAGCACAAGAACAGGAGGCTCGAAATTGTTTGGAAAGGAGGGGATGGTCACATCAAACTCTAACATCAGACAAACAAAGGAATTCGTAGATCGCTTGCATGTAGGGAAGATAACGTGTTCCCAATACATCTCTTACTTCACGGAAGGGTTGTCTACCTCGGGCCACTAGGGTATCCAATAGTCGTGCTCTGGAGGCGTCATCGATGTCATCATAACCGGTTGTGCACCTACATATATTGCTGTCAACGAGGTTTATTCTATAGAGATGTGCGTCTAGCGAGTAGTGGTTGGACATAAGTATTGACATCACTCGAATGAATCCCCGACTTACATCCAGACCTTTGAACCACGCTCTCGAAGAAACATTTGGAATAATGGAATGTAACCACCGCCCAAGAGAATTACTTGTCCAACCACTCTGACGTACTAATGAGAAAAATTCATCGTGTGAAATTCTTATATCATAAATCTCGCCTTGTTGTGCGCCCACCTTTGCGAGAGAGTCTGCCTTCTCATTGCCTGGGATTGAGCAATGTGAGGGGACCCATACAAAGGTAATCATATATGATCTTTCGACCAGCAAACTCATCTGCTCCCTTACCTTTGAAAGGAAATAAGATGAGTGCCTACCTTGTTTCATCGACCGAATAGCCTCAATCGAACTGCGACTATACGAGTAGATGAAGTAATGGTCTATGGGCATATCGGAAATCATCCCCAATGCGAAGTTGATTGCTGCCAGCTCAGCAACATAAACGGAACAAGGTTCCTGAAGTTTCCGAAAGGCGGTTGAGTATTCTTTGAAGACGCCGAAGCCAGTGGATCCTTCAATGCGTGACCCATCAGTGAAAAATCTTCTATTGCAATTGACTTGTTGGTACTTTTCAGCAAAAATATATATAGGTCGAAATTGATCTGGAACTCCTTGAATAGCCTGTTTCATGGAGAGATCATAGTCAATGGGGGAACTGTAGTTAGTAAAGCATACACGAGAAGGGTTATAGCAAGGATGAATTATGACATATAATTAAGATAGGTTCGCACGAATCCAGACTGGATGCTCAATTCAAGCATTTCTTCGAAGTATTCAATCACTAGGTTGTTACTGACACTACATTTAATCAATATTCATAATGAGAGCTCCCAGAAACGGTTCTGGAGGGATTTTCCTCCCGCTAGAACCTCTAGGCTCATATTGTGTGTTGAATGCATACAGCCAAGGGCAATACGTAAACAACGATATTGAATACGTTCCAATTTGATTACACGGTAAGAAAAAAGTACCCAAAAGTAAGTTCTTTTCACTCATCTCGGCACTATAGTGCAGGAACCCAAAAGTAG